GCATGGCCGTCGCTCTCGAGCTCCATGGTTCCAACGCACAAGTGGGCAGTAGTTTGTGTGCCAGTATTTTTCGAGTAATGTGATTGGATGTTCAGTGACCAAGTTCAACTTGCTTTTGCTTTTCGTGAATTCGAGAATCGACCATGCGAACGAAAAGCGGACCAGATTTCCAAATTGACTCTCCCTAGTGTTCTTTCAAAACTACACGAATTTTTTAGCGCTCTGTCATTAAATATTTGGTAATTTTTATGGTGAACTTTTAACACGCAACATGGTGCCATCGTTAGCCGACATCGTGGCGGCGATCACACTCGTCGAAAACGGTGAAACTGTTGCTGCCGTTGACGTTGCTCCTTATTAAAGTGGACCCCTCGTTGCTTGAGTGCATTAAGATGAAGTCCATCTCTGCCGACATCTCCATTGAAAAGCGCGGTTCCAAGACAATTCTGGCGATCGAACTCAAGCGACCTTGTCACTTGAATGCTGCAGATCCTATGCAGCGAGCGGGATGGCCTGTAGAGCGCTAAGACGTCTTGGTCTTTGAATGGAATCGTGGTTAAACACGAGGAAACATGCACAAGCGGAAGTGCTGACATTTTCACCACCGAAGTCCAAGGGGCACAAGATGGTGTCAAGGAGCTGGAGTCTTTCACCTGCAAAGGACTTTACACAATGTACAATACGCTTCTGCAACCCACAAGAACAAGAGAAAAACTATGAGCGGGGAAATTCCATTCACCTCTCATTGAATGAACTACACAGGGCAGGTGTACTAAATTCAATAGATGAGTAGGCCACCAGCCCTACTTTTGTACTCAATGAAAAAGTGTCCAAAAAATACAAACAACAAGATAAATGTAAACGATGGTAATGCTGTGCATTTGTAGGCCACCAGGCCTACCGTGTATTCTCGAGCACTGATTGGATGTAACACAAGTATATCGTTTCTTGACATGACGACAGTACCGCCGCGCGAATCGTCGACGCTGGAGGATATTAATGGTGCTCTGGTGGCCGAAAGATCCAAGAAGGCATACGCCACGGGAATCCGTCAAGTTGTCAAGTGGATCCAGCACACCGATCAAGCCAATGAGCTACTCAAGGCAGACGGCTCAATCAACCTGGCAACGTTCTCGTACGAGTGGTTCGTCCAGTTCATCGTTTGGACCATGCAGAACACTGCTGTGAAGGCCAACACGATGTCCGGCTACAGGTCAG